ATCATTTAAGGTAAGTGCTGACATTAACATTGGGGGGGAGGGAGATTTTTCTTTAGCTAGAATGTTTTCATTCTTTGGGCGGGTTATTCTGGTATTGCTACTCAGCAAGGGTTCTGATTGCACTGTCTGATATACAGCTGACCTTTATTTGGAGAAATGATCATCAGTAAATGTGAAAAAAGACTTCGGATGTTCAGGTGAATTAGGATATAGCTGTGTGCTTGTCAACATTACACCAGTTGTTCCTTTTAGAAGGTATCATGTAGAGGAAAGTGACCGTTTCCTACAGACGTTTTTAATACTTTGACACTTGAATTCAATATGAAAAGTGGTCATATCTCCAGCCTCCCACCTTCCACTTCTTCTCCCAGTAGGCTTCTGTCAGTTTTTGGACATGGCTTCACCCATGACTCCTTTGACAGGATCTGTGAATGGAGACTACAGGTTCCATCTGCCCGTGACATTGCCGTACTTGTACTTCATTCATACTTCTTCCCGTCCCTGTCGCTAAAAATAAATAAATCGGTATCTTGGTATGCATGCGAACTAGAGGAAGAGTCTTCAGGAGTCAGTGTATTGCACCCACATACTACTGATCATGTTGCAATGCTTTGCAGGATCCAATACAAACAAAATCAGAAATGCACATTTGTATCTTTTATGAATATATTTGCATTTATTATGTTCTTGTAAAATGTGAACGATTCTATTAAAACCCATCAACTTATATATTCGCTTTTACCACACTCCCTCATTGTTCCTCGCTCCGTTTGGTGGCATGTGCTTCTGGATATGGGGAAGCGTGTGACCTTTATAGAATGTTGTGCTTGGACCTAAGCAACCAGTTGTCAGCATCCAATACACCATCGTAAAGCTTGTATATGGTTTGGTCTTCCAGCAAAGGTTAGTATAAGACGGTGGAAGTGGGCAACCAATGGACAAAAGTCACGATCTAATGAAGTCCCCTTTTACATGGGCTGATCAGGATCTGTGTATGGATCCCCTCTTAATCGGATCGGTACGGATCAGGTGCAATGGAGGAAAAACAAACAACCGGACCGTCTATGGGGAATCGGATGTAAATGGACATGTCTGTATACGTTATATTACCCCCGATCAGGTCTGTCTAAACGGGACACTGTTCTGTTTGGGTTTTTCCGGACCTGGCCAGATTTGGGTGTAAAGAGACGCTAGTATATTGAGACCCGGCTGCCTGTAGACTAGTATTGCGCATCAGATCGAGTCCACCTGAAAAACTGACAGACTGACCTGATCAGACCACCCGTGTGAAAGGAAGCTCCATTCATGTTCATCCCCAATATAGCCGTGGACTTCTTGAAGTTGATGAGTGGAGTGTTTGGCGAGCTTTACTGCAGATTCCTCCTACTTCTGCTCCGCAAATATGACAAACTGACTTTTCCTATGGTGTGCGAACATTGTCCCTAAGCAAAGCCACATGGGAAGAGGAGGCTATATGGCGGCTAGTCTCTTAGCAATGGAACTGTGTGAGCTTCCTAATATTTCTGAGTCAGATATAAGTTGGCTAACTGTAAATACAAAGAAATGTAAAGCTTGTTAGTCACTAAAGCAAACCACGTGTGTATGTTTTGTTTCTCTCACTAATGACTCATCTGTCCTGTACCGGAAGGGGTGGAGAGGACTCCTGGGAGTTAGGTAGTTGGGTTGCTATTTAAAGCAATAGGCATCAAATGTGGCTATGGAGGCAGCTTGACATTTGGCACCAGGAAATACAAGAACGGTAAATATGTATCATTTGGGCGTTTCTTCCTAATTCAGATATTTTCTGTACTTCAGATGACCGCTAAGATTTAATGAGAGCTCTGCGGATAAATATGCCGACATGTTAGATAAATCTGAATTTGGAGAATCCAGGTCAGAATGCTGCTCGTTTGCCTTTGGGAGCTTCTTTTTCTTTTAAGATTTTTTCCCCCAGTCCTTGGCTCGGTTGGCTTTTGTTGTAAGACTTCTTGTAGCGCCGAGTGAGACCAACATTTCTGAGCCGGCAATGATGTCTGCAAAATTTCCATATGTGCTTCTGAGAGGTGGTTGTGTGCTTCCTATGCGCTCCCATCTGCCTCTCCTCTGTCTGATCATATCCATCCTGGAGGTGGGGAAGGCTACAGACTTTGTCCATGAACTTTACTCTTTGCATTCAGAAAAGACTCCACTTGCAGCCTGATTTTTCTTAAAATTTAACTTGGTGTGCCCGGAATTCGGAATTTAAAAGGAAGTTCTCTTCTGCTTTCGGACAATGCGTTTTTTGATGTTATCTTAAAGTAGAACTGAAGTCAAAACTTTTTTTTTTTCTTAGTTGGTTTGCATAAAGTATGGGGGGATTATAACTTGTCCAGCATTTTTTTATTGCCATTTGTATCCCATTGGGGAGATTTCCCTTCACTTCCTGTCAGATGGCTACAAAAGGAAGTGAGAGGAAATCCATGGTGGTCACCAGAACCAAGCTCCCCATTGGAAGATTTCACCATCTCCTCCTGTTCCTCCAGAGAGAGGGTAAACCTCTGGTGGTCAGTAGGGTCCCCATTGAAAAATGTCCCATCTGTTCCTGTTCAAGTAACAGCCATACATTTGTTACCCTCGTGGGTTTGTTATGGACTGGCAGAAGTGGTGTGTTTTTTATTTTAGATAATTTTAGTTTGGAGGTGTGGAGGTGTTTAGTAGAAAGGTACTCAGGATCCAGAGGCTGCTATTTAATGTCCAGTGAGGGGACCCAATGTGTAATGGATTGTGTATTACACTGCAGGTTTCTGGTTTAATATTTTACATTGTTTTGGGTCAAATTACATTTTTAAAATTGTTTTATTAAACTTGTGCTTTTTAGATGTTTGGTATGAAATTCTGCAATCACCATTGGCTGGCAGACTTGGACAAATTGCTTTGCTGGTCAGCGCTGACAGTATAGGTCCAGTACTGGAACAATGCAGTCAATTGGCTGAAGTTTTGGTGCCGGCCAGTTGGCTGGTAGTTAACTGTCACTTTGTAGTCCCAGCACAGACATGAGCAGTTGCATGTTACCAAGGACATAATATAAACAATAATATTTTCTCTTTAGCAGCACTGATATGCAGTCCACTTCCTGGAAATGGGTCAGCTGGGCATTTCTATGTTGGCAGTATACAGTTGTCATCGGCCAGAACGTTAATCCGGAGGCTGACCGTAACTGAATAGTTTCTTGCCATTTACCACTAACATAAGATAATAGTTCAATGCAGTTACCTGATCGCAGGTCTCACGCTGCCTCCTCAACCAGCCAGCGACTAACGGCGAACATTCGGATCGAGGTCCAGAACTACACGGTCACAGTTGGCTGTTGAAGTAATCCCATTAGTTGATGAGCGAATCCTTATTAGACATCTACAGCTGCGGTGTCTGAAACTATATAACTACAGTATAGCGCTGCCTTTTTAGAAAACCCAGAGTGCTCTGGGAATCATTATATACTAAACATAAAATATGATAATTTCCCTAGAACCTAAAAAAAGTGCAGTACCACTTCCTCAGAAGGTGAGCTGCACACAAACTTGAAAATTAAGCAGACGTGTAAGCAGGACATCACAATGTGGCTGACTTCTGCTAATTGCAAATCTGTGACTTAAAGCTTCATGGGACCACAAAACCAGTCTTTGTGAAACTGTTTTATTCTGATGTTGAGCTTAAAGTGTAATGTAAACCCAAATGATGAACTCTCCTTTTGTTCTTCAGAATATGCCATTGTAATCTTTTTTGTTTTATCTGTTCAATAAGTGCAAAAATACTTGTGGAACTTAAGTGGGCATGGTTGAAGACTGGCATTTAAAGCCAAGATTCCACTGTGTTCTGTCAGAGGGCACACTATATTTTTGACCTATTAAAAATGTTTTTGTCTCCACTTGCAGGGTTTTAAAGGTGTGTGTGTGTGTCTAGAGGTGCACCGAAATAGCATTTTCAAAGCCGAAAAGAAGTCAGACCAAAACATTTTCTTTTTCTAATTTTTAAAACTATTTTATTTTTATTATTTTACTTTTAGGGGCTTTGGGGAAATATTGGGGGTCTAAACAGACCTCTGATATTTCCCTTTTTAAAATAGAAAAAGAGATTGAGGACTGTGTTCTCAATCTCTTTCTTCAGCCCCTGTTATAAATGAATAGGAATCCTCTATACTGAGTGTTCTGCTCATTCATACCAATTGTGGAGATAGTATGTTTACTATAACCACAATCATGAATTGTTCATGGTTGTGATGTAGATCACTTCCCATTCATTCATAATGGAGGATATTGTAACCATACTCTGTCCTCAATTATTTACAAACACTCACTGATCAATGACTGCTTGTACCGCTCTCCTTCCTGTATCGGCTGTCACAGGAGGCTGAGCGAATGGCGCCGGGGAGGAGAGTTTGATCTCCTGTGACAGCTGACTCCTCCCCTGTTGGCCCGACCTCCGCCCCACACCACCGCTCTCCTTATCTGTCACCGGAGGCTGAGCGAACGGTACGGGGAAGAGAGCTCGGTCTCCAGTGACAGCTGACGCCTCCCCTGCACGCCCGGCCTCCTGGGACAGCTGACAGCCATCTCAACTGCTCTCCTGATCTGTCACAGGAGGCTGAGCGGTGCATGAGGAGCGACGCCAGCCGCTCACGGCGCTCTCCTACCCTGCAACGCTCAGCCTCCTATGAGGTTTTCTCTCCTCCCTGCTGGGACACAGAGCAGCGCCCAGCCAGGAGGAGAGAAACCGCTATGTCGGCACAAAAGATGGCACTTTCGACATTTTGCCAACAGTGCTATTTTCGGCCTTTTTTGTTTCGGTGGCCGAAATTTCAGTGCATCCCTAGTTTTTACAGATGTGTATATAATCCTTTTTTTTTTTAATTCTTAGAAGACCTGTAATACCCTGATGGGTGACCACTTTAGGTATTTCAGTGACTTTTATCAAATTTCTGTATTTGAGACTATTCTAAAATTATTATTTTGTTTTCCTTGTAGGTACATGCCAGTTTTTGCTGCTGTTTGGCAAACTAACAAGACGTCTTCCAACTGGTGCTCCATGATTTGAACGTCGGGGCTTGTTCTCAACTTGACATGAAGATGGAGGCAGTTGGAAAGAGTGAACAGCTGTTGGAATCTGAAGTGCCTCCTGTGACCCAACAGAAAGTGGACTCTCACCCTGATGAGGCAGCTCTGGACCTACAGGCTTCTCTGAAGGACGATGCACAAGATGTCCCCGACTCTTCCGGACTAGGCTCAATGCCGTGCCTGCTGATGGAGCTGAGAAGGGACTCCTCAGAGTCCCAACTAGCGTCTACTGAAAGCGACAAGCCGTCGGCGGGCCAGGTGTACGAGAGTGACTCCTCCAACCACTGCATGCTGTCCCCTTCTTCCAGCGGACATTTGGCCGACTCGGACACACTGTCTTCCGGCGAAGAGAACGAGCAACGGTGCCCAGAAGCAATAACTGAAGGCTGTGATACCGCTGCCCAAGGAGCTGTCGTGGCTCGGAAGTCACGGAGGTCTCGCTCGGAGAGCGAGACGTCCACCATGGCTGCCAAGAAAAACCGCCAGTCCAGTGATAAGCAAAATGGCAGAGTCGCCAAGGTCAAAGGTCACAGAAGCCAAAAGCACAAAGAGAGGATTAGGCTATTAAGGCAGAAAAGGGAGGCAGCTGCACGCAAAAAGTACAACTTGTTGCAGGACAGTAGCACCAGTGACAGCGACTTGACCTGCGACTCGAGTACAAGTTCATCAGATGACGATGAAGAGGTTTCAGGGAGCAGCAAGACAATCACAGCGGAGATACCAGGTAAAAAATATGTCCTTGACCTAACTTGCTTGGGCCTCTTAGATGATGATCACAGGCCTTTTGTTTTTGGTCCCCAGTTGGTAAAATGTTGTTTTATGTGACCCTTTTTATTTTCTTTTTCAGTTTTGGAACATCTAAACCTGTTTACCAGCGACCCTTAAATATTTTTAACAGTCTGTAGGCCCAAATATGTAAAGTGGGAGCATATTTGTAGATCGCCTAGGACAATTTAAGTGACTAAGCCCAAAACATCTTTTTTTCTTTTTCCCCCAGTTTGGCATCATGTCTCGATAGATAAAGTGTTCTTAAGCAATTCATTTTTGTGAATCTGTTAAAGCGGAACCTAATCGGCAGCCCAAGGCCAACTGAAGCCGTATGCTCGGCAGGCTCTGGGTTGAAATGATTTAGCAATTTTTACCAGGACAGACCCTCTCTTTTCATTCTTAGATCAAACTGATCGTTAACGGCAGTAGTTATTTAGACGATAAAGTCCTTTCCCCAAAATAATGATATTGAATGACCATTTGCATTAAAACCGGTAATCTTCTTTGTTTTACCCTTTCAGTATTTTCTTTTTTTGTTTTACTTCCCCGTGTCCAACTTTTTACCCAGAATAAATGAATCCTCTTGTATATCTCAAATGGTTGTTTCATTTAATTTTTCATCAGTGCAATATTTTTCAAACCCATCTATGGTCCACAGACAGATATACGCCACTTCCTAAGCCCCTGTCACTTGGTCATCTTCCCTACAAGTTGGGTGCCAGAGCCGAGCAGAGGGTCCGTTCCTTACACCAAAGAAATTCTGGCGGCACACCATTCAATTACCATGTTAATAGCTTTGTTTTCCAGACAAACGTACATATATCTCTGCCCAAAACCTCCTTGTTTGCTGCGTTTAGGCCTAAAACTGGGTTCCTCCAGCTTTTCTTTCCGCCCACTGTCTTCTGTGGTGCAGGAATGGCTTGTAGAAAAAGGCAATAAGCATATCTGTAGACTGAGGTGAATAAAATCAAAACGTAAAGAATGTTTGTTTATTCTGCGGATGATTTGTGGGCAGAAGCATGCATATGATTTTTTTTGGGGGGGGGGCTGTCATGCCCAACACTTTTATGCAGAACTGATACTTTATAGTACATTACACTCCATTACAGTTAAACAACGGTTTCCAACATATTGGCGCTCATCAGAGCAAACTTATTTTAGTTGTGGCTTGAAGGGCTTGGTTGGGTAGCAAATTGTGACGGTAGATGAAAAGAAGTCAAAACACTTTCTGCTTTCAACAGAATGAATTACGGGCATTGTATTATCTTGTACCTAAAAGTCCTTGGGCTTGGGAAAAGTACCTGTGCTTCATAGAGAATAAGGCCAGTTTGGAGCATTTCCGCCCCTCTAGCTCCATCAAGGCACGGTCTGGAATGATGGATAGAAACAGCGGCTGTAAGCACTGGGCACACAGGCACTTCTCTCATAAAGCAGCCATTTATTTTTAAGGAGTGTATGCCATTTTCCTTTACATAGTTTTAAATGTGTTCCTTTTGTCTGTTACTAGTTGATCATGACCTCCTGTAGTTTTTTCTTTTTTTCTTTTTTCCTTTGTTTTTTATGGCTATTGAACATGAACTGATTGACCCCAATTACTCTGCATCATCTTCACGGACTGCAGAGTTGCTCTGCTTTTGTGTAACCTGCACTACTTTACAGATGGAGCTGCACTGCTATTAGATAGGCCTTCAGCTACAACTGGCATTATAGGGAATATCGGGTAGAGCTCAAGGTACAACTTGCTTTGTATCGAATATTCTAGGTACAAGGTTTGTTACGGATGATCTCAAGTAGACCTCTAGGTACAAGTGGCATTATAGGGAATATCGGGTAGACCTCTAGGTACAAGGTTTGTTATGGGTGATACCAGGTACACCTCTAGGTACAAGTGGCATTATAGGGAATATCTGGTAGGCCTCTAGGTACAAGGTTTGTTATGGGTGATACCAGGTACACCTCTAGGTACAAGTGGCATTATAAGGAATATCGGGTAGACCTCTAGGCACAAGGTTTATTATGGGGATATCAGGTAAACACCAAAGTACAAGTGGTGTTTTAGGGGATATCAGATAGACATCTAGCTAGAAGGTTTGTTGTGGGTGATACCAGGAAGATCTCCAGCAGCAAGCAGTGCTATGGGTGATAACGGGTAGATCTCCAGCTACAAGGAGTCTTATGGAGAATGCCTGGTAGACCTCCAGCTACAGTGGGTGTTGTAGGTTATGTCATTTGTACAAGTGATACTTGGTAGACCTCTGGGTACAAGGTTTGTTATGGATGATACCAGGTACACCTCCTGGCTACAAGTGGCATTGTAGGGAATATCCGATAGACCTCTAGCTACAAGGAGTCTTATGGAGAATGCCGGTAGACCTCCAGCTACAGTGGGTGTTGTAGGTGATGCCATTTGTACAAGTGATGACAGGTGCTCTTCATCTTCTTGTATTGTCTCCATACAAAATAAGCTTTAAGGGTCAGCCTAACCAAAGTAGATATTTCATATTTGTGTTTATGTTGACAGAAAATGATGGGTGAATCAGCCTTTGGGCATTCTGCCTCTTTAATATGGCAATGAAATCCCGTCCCTTAAATATTAATCACTGTTTTGTAAATTTGTGTCTGGGTGGAATTAAGACGTTCAGTGTGTCTTCAATACGTCTTTTAAAAAGCTTGCAAATGCAGCAAAATACTATTTTGATCTGCCAGACATCCAGGGAGCTCCTAACTTTATGTAGGTAGCAGAAAATGGAGCTTCTGCTGCTATCAGCCCTGGCTCACTTCTACTCTGCTGGATTACAGAACACCTCCCCTCCTCGTCTTCATAACACAAGGGGGAGGTGTGCACAGGAAGTTAGGCGCATACTGGATTTTTGACGGGTATTTTTCCAAACTTGCAGTTTTTTTTTCCAGGGGACAAGACATAGGAAAATGGTGCCTAAAATTAAAGAGATGTACTTCGTGTTTTGATTATTTTGCCCTGACGTACACTATTAGGATTATAATAGCTGCAGCTGGCGGAGAGATCTGGGTCCTATGGTGCAATGATATCACCTCAGGAGTTCCAGACAGATTTTATAATTCAGAATATGATTGTCCTCTATTGTCTGATGGCTTTTCAAAAATTTGCTGCATACTTTTCTTGGCTGTGCAATTTTAAGACTGTAAATAAAAATGGGTGTTTTAGACAGATATTGTAATATACATTTCTTGACATGAAGATATATATATATATATATAAAAAAGTTTCTTTTCCTCTGCCCGAACTGATAATAGAACTAAAATGATAGTAACACAATCCAGCGACCGAATCACAATCGACACCTCAGAGGGGGAGCCACATGTCCTTTAGATCCCCGGGGCGTTCACATGGGTGACGATTCCAGCACTAGGAAGCATTACTGTACATCATTGTTAAGACAGGGAAACCATAACAGAATCAGCTGATCGGTAACATACCTTAAGCTCACGTTCACTTCTGGAATAGTTCTGCCTCTCAGTCTGCTTTCAGGCCCATAAGAATAATTGAAAAATGTGTTGAACTGCACACAGTGCATTTTCGGTTGTTGCTCGGTACTTGGCGCGGTGTACTCACAGGAAGCCCTCACCTAGCAACATTATCTTCCTCCAACGTGGTAAAAAAAAAGTTTTCTGGACTGTGGTTTGACATGAAGACATTCACCAAAGAGGTCAGGAAGTGCAATGTGTTTATTGACCTCTCCCACGCTTACTACTAAACCGTCATGGGTGTCCTGGGGAAGAGGTTGGAGAGGTCGTTACACCAACTTGGTCACAATTGTGCAAAGTTCAACGAGTGTAGAGGTAAGATGCCTGTGCATGTTAGTATGCGTGTTTGTCTGAATGACTATGCTGACTTTGGCATGCAGTGATGTGTGTATCTGTATGCATGTATGTATGTGCAGGTGCAAGCATGAAATGATTCAGGAACATTAGAAAAAAACATTAAAAAGTCTATACATATTAAAACATTAAAAAGTGTATACGTATGCTAAGGGACCTGTCCTTCGATATTTAGTTTGTCTCCATTCAACAGGGAATTTTAGCAGATGAGTTTTCGGAACGGTTAATGTGTACATGATGATTATTCGCCAGTTTTTGTTTCTGGTATGGATAGAAATGGTTGGATCACATTTATCACGACCAAAAAAAATACAAATGCTGCAATTGAATAATTAAGCTACGTGATCTTAATCACAACCTAAAGCTAATCTTAACCCTCAGCCTAGCCCCTTCAATTCACCCCAGACCTCAACCAGACCTCTAAAGCTTTCTACTAGAACGCCAGTAAATTCATAAATACCATGTTGCTAGTAATTCTGATGTAAAAATATTGAAAAAGTGTTTGACACTAAACTCAGGAGTTGAACCTTTAGAAATACATTCAAGTACCTTTTAACTATTATCAAAAATGTATCTTATTTGTGTATCACTCGGGTGTGGATCCTCCAATCATCCCTGACTTGGTGGTGACACTGTCCTTCCTTCTGGAGGGGGGCTACTTTTGTTCCCCATGGTCCCTGTGTGTGTTGTAAAGTAGTCACCGCTCCAAGCTCACTCCTGTGATGGACTACAATCTCATGTTTAGTTTACTGATTTGTATTGAGATTGTAGTCCATCCCGGGAGTGGGCTCGGATCGGTGACTACTTTACAACACGCACAGGGATATGGGGAACAAAATGATCCCCCCTCTAGAAGGAAGGACAGTGTCGGCACCAATTCAGATTGATTGGAGGCTCTACAGCCGAGTGATACACACATAAGATACATTGTTGTTAATAGTTACAGTTACCTGAATGCATTTCCCAAGTTTAGTGTTACGTTCAAACAAATGTATGGCAGCGCATTGGTGTCATGAATGTGTACTGTTGATTGTTTGTTTTTTGGGGTCCCCCCCCCCCCCC